TGTCAGCTACAGGAAGATTTCAGTGTTAGGTTACTGTTCAATACTTGGTTAAATGTCAGCTACAGGAAGATTTCAGTGTTAGGTTACTGTCCAATACTTGGTTAAATGTGAGCTACAGGAAGATTTCAGTGGTAGGTTACTGTCCAATACTTGGTTAAATGTGAGCTACGGGAAGATTCCAGTGTTTAACCAAGTATTGGACAGTAACCTCTGACATTTAAATCTTCCTGTAGACAGTAACCTACCACTGCCTATACTTGGTTAAATGTCAGCTACAGGAAGATTTCAGTAGTGGGTTGGTGAGAAGGCACTAGTAATTTTTTTTAAAACTTGATTCACTTAGTCATTAGACTTGATTCACTCAAAGTATATAAGAAAACATTAGACATTAATATTAAACTTGATCTATATCTTGACCATTTAATTTTGCTTTCTTATTAAAATTTAGAATTTTTTCTGATAATTATGATTGTAACTTCAGCTTTATTTAAGTGATTACCATTTACTTGTTGGTTAGATAGTAGAAGTAGAATTTTAGCTTCAAAATATGGGAATTGTGACACTAATCATCAAAAACAAAACTTAGAAGTTATTAAATGAAGATCACATACACTTTAGGCTTGGAAATGATCTGTCTTGTCCATGTGTTTAATGATATGGTAGTGGATGTACAATTTCAACCTGTGACAAGTAAGTTGAAAGCAATTGTAAAATCAGTAATCTATTATATTTGCCCCACTAAGTTAAAGCTGCTGACAAGATGGTTACATGCTTGTAATGTTTGAAGTAGAAGGGTTATATGGTGTTTTTTTTTTTATTTTTGTCTTGTTTTAGCTTTCCTGATGAACTGTTATGTAGTTGATCGACTATAAACAAGGCCTGTTTTGTAACCACTGTTGAACTTTTAGTTGTTTTATCGTGTGAAATTTATGTAGGGAGTCATTGGAAAGTTAGTTACCTTACAGCTTATCACCATATACTTCTGTTATATGTGTACTACTTAGATTATTTAGGACCTAATCACTTGTAAATATCCGTTTTATTTTATCAGAAACTTTTGGCTCACTGTTTCACTTGAAATCAAGCAAGCTGAAATTACTTGTATGATTGTATATTCATGTTATGATAACATACAACAGGGAAAATCTTTATGTGTGTGTATGGAAATAGAGCAAAAATTAAACAACTAGCCAGTGGAGGAGTCTCCTATTAAGAAACAAGATCTAAACACCTTGTATACTGTATCAAAGAAATTAATTGTTTACAAGAAGTACCTTTAAACTTTGTTTCGAACTACTACAAAAGTTGGAGTTATTTTAGAATCACAACCAACTCTCTTCATTGATGTTTAGGTTACAGACTATGTCCAGCATGACAGCCTCAGATGAGTTGTCCGAAGCTGAAGTTCGTCAACTCGTCTTTGACCTGGAGGCCTCCTTCAATGCTTTCAACAACCTCTTGCATGAAGATTGAATGTAAAGTGCAGAAGAATGGAGAAAATTTTGTTAAACAAAGGAGTTAGTTTCCAAGTTAATTAATGTTCTTCATTTGTACAGTTGTTGAATCAGGGTTGACGTTTATTGGAATTATTTTGTAAATAGATAACTGCGTCATTATTTTTCCATATAACTCGTATATTATTATAATTAGATTTAAATTCGTTTTGCTTAATTTACTGTCTGGACCCAATAATTCAATAGTGTATTTACCACATTTTATTTTTCTCATGATCAAAATAAATGGAGAAATTATTAATAAAGTGGTGTAGTTTTTATCTCGCAAAACTGCTGAAAATGCACGTTACATTTAAAGCATAGCACTGTTCTCTAGTTAAAAAATATGTGATTTCTGGATGGTATTTTCAGTTATTCAGTATTAGATAGGTCCGATTAATAACGGGAGAATCGAGCAGGAAATGTGTGAAAAGTAATCTAAATAAACTAGTGAATTTTAAACAGTGTAAGAAATACATATACTGGAAATTGTAAAGCGATCCGTATTTGAAGACTAAGCAAAAACCAAAAGAAAGTGTACATTCTTGCGTGGACATTAAGACAATCGCCAAATACCGGATCAGTGAATAGCTTTCTTCTCACAAGATGGATATCTGGAGAACTGTCCACGTTGAAAACCAAGCATAACTCGTAATGAACCAGGACTCCTTCCAGAAACGAGAAACGTCGTTTCTATTCAAGTTAACACATGACTGATCTTTCCAAGTACAATCTACTTGGCAAGTGAAGGGCAACACTGTCAACGACTGTTTTGTTGTAGGAACAGTGGCTCCTGCAACTGACAAACGTAAAAGTTACCGACAAGGGGACAGACATACAAATACAAATTAATTTGTTTGAACTAAAGGGGGGGTTGTAATATTCTCTTAATGATGTCAGTCAGCCAGAATCGTAACTACAATTATAGGAAAATAAATGTAGGAGCCCATTTACTTTTTATGCGAGAGGGGGCATCTTTGGTAACGCCACTGTCTAGGACTTTGTAGAAGTTGTGTATAATTACGGTATGTTAGTATTACGACATGCTAGTACTAGCTCGTCCTAGCACTAAACCTACCGTGATTCTATACTAACTTGTAGCACTTCTTAGTACTAAACCTACCGTGATTCTGTACTAACTTGTAGCACATCTTAGTACTAAACCTACCGTGATTCTATACTAACTTGTAGCTCGTCCTAGTACTAAATCTACCGTGAATCTGTACTAACTTCTAGTACAAAACCTACCGTGATTCTGTACTAACTTGTAGCACATCTTAGTACTAAACCTACCGTGATTCTGTACTTACTTGTAGCACATCTTAGTATTAAACCTACCGTGATTATATACTAACCTCCAGAAGTTCTAGTACTAAACCTACTGTGATTCTGTACTAACTTGTAGCACATCTTAGTACTAAACCTACCGTGATTCTATACTAACTTGTAGCTCGTCCTAGTACTAAATCTACCGTGAATCTATACTAACTTCTAGGACAAAACCTACCGTGATTTTGTACTAACTTTTTGCTCGTTCTAGTACTAAACCTACCGTGATTTTGTACTAACTTTTTGCTCGTTCTAGTACTAAACCTACCGTGATTCTATACTAACTTGTAGCACATCTTAGTACTAAACCTACCATGATTCTATACTTACTTGTAGCTCATTTTAGTACTAAACCTACCGTGATTCTATACTAACTTGTAGCACATCTTAGTACTAAACGTATCGTGATTATATACTTACTTGTAGCTCATCCTAGTACTAAACATATCGTGATTATATACTTACTTGTAGCTCATCCTAGTACTAAACATATCGTGATTATATACTTACTTGTAGCTCATCCTAGTACTAGACATATCGTGATTATATACTTACTTGTAGCTCATCCTAGTA